CTTGCCCCCCCCCTCCCGCCTCTTGTTTTAGGGGCCTCTTGCTCCCCCAAGATTCATGGGGCTGCCGCGTCCACGGGGCTCGTTCAGGGGCAGCCGGCAGTGGCCTGTGCCCTTGGCTTGGGGTGAGGCTCCACGATGAGCCTGTCCCCGCTGCCCCCGAATCGTCCCGAGCCGCCTTTCCTGGCGTCCCAGCGCAGGGTGCTCATGGGCCCCGCGTGGGGGCATGTGAAGGCGTCGTTGGGGAAAACCTCTGGGGAGGGTGGGATGTGGCTCCCCTGGCCGAGCAGCATGTCCCTTTGGCTCCCGCGGGGCCTTCGCTGGCCTCGCGCTGGGAGCGGGAGGCGACAGCTGCAGCCAGGCTCTCGCCGCACTCTGGGAGCAGTTGGCACTGGTGAGACCAGTGGGAAGATGCTTGTGATGTTGCTGAACTTGCCCCTCGGGGCTGGAGGTTTCCGTCCAAGCTGAACAGTTGTGGGGAAACCAAAGCCGAGGGGCAGCGGTCATACCTGGGCTCTGTTCAGTGAAGTGATTCTTCTTTCTCTCATGTTTTGTTGCCTTGCAGTGTGTGCCCGGGGCACAGGGTATCCCTCAGCCCATGTTGCCCACCGGCATTGTAAAAGCCTTTCCCAAGAGGAAGAAGGCATGGGATGGGGCGGAGCAGGTCCCCCCAAAGATCGAGAAGGAGCCGGAGGCGGGGGGCCCTGAGGGTGAGTTGGGGGCTCTGTCCTGCCTCCTGCCTTGCAGTTGGTGTGAAGGGGCAAGGAGCTGCAGCCTGGCAGTGGCTGGGGTATCACTGCTGCCCAGTCCCTGCAGCTACACACACGACTGGGATCCCTTGACTGGGCCCCTGAAGGAAACTGATGCAAGGCTGCAGTGGTTTTCCTGCCCTGTGTCACTGGGCGTGACACACGATGGCTCAGGTGTGATCATGGTGGTGTCACAGCCTATGCTGCAGGTGCCAGTAACGTCTGCACCCCTAGAGCAGAGTATGAAGTGTGTGGCCCACAGCGGGATCCTGCCCTAGGAGGGCCAAGTCTTCCAGGGCAGAACAAGGGCAGGCCCATTGCCAAAATCCAGGCTGTGGTTCCCCATTGAGGGCAGCAGTGGGGAACGAATGTTGGCTGTCAGTTCCCGCGGCTGTTGCTGCAGGTGGATCCGGCCCACAACAATTTTGAGATTCAGCTGGGAGAATTTGACACTGCTGCCTTGGAGGATTGAGGCAGGGTGTCAAACTCAATCCTCTCTGCAGTTTGGCTGGCGTCTGTCATTGCCTATGTGCTGCCAGCGGGCATGGGCCGGGCCAGGGCTGAAATCTTCCACAAGCACATCGTGCAGCATGGGGGCCGTGTCTGCAGCCAGCCCTCGCCAGAGGTGACACACATCATTGTGAACGAAGGCATGGATGGAGGCCGGGCACTGCGGCTCCTGCGACTGGCTGCACTGCCCCCCAGCGTACGGCTGGTGACAGCCGCCTGGCTGAGCACGTGCATTTCCGAGCGGAAGCTGCTGAGTACTGCTGGGTACGACGTCTTGGTCCCGGACAGGTACGTGACCCCTGGCTGGTTCCCCAGGCTGAGTGGATGGATTAGTAGTGCCCTTCACCCAGAGATCTAATGAAACCTCACAGCCCCTCGAGGTCGCTCCCTTTTGGAGATGGCTACGTGTCTGTGTAGACAGCAGAAGTGGCTTGTCCTGGGGTGAGGCTTAGAAACATGGAATCCCAGAGCTGTGGGGCTGGATGGGACCTGTGGGGGTTCCAGATACTCCAGCCCCTGCCTGAGGTAGGACCAGCCCTGTCCAAACCAGCCCAAACAAACCCTGAGTCTGACCTCTGAGCAGCATAACACAGTCACCCTGACATAGCCCCCAGACATTGCCCCTGCCCCGGAAAAGCAGGGGGGCCGCAGCTGCCAACGTCCTGCTGCTGCCAGGGGGGTCAAGGGCTCTGCAGAGAGTCCCAGCCTTGGCCGTGCCCCCGCTACAGAGGAAGGCAAACCCTCCCCAGTTTGCACCAGTCTGAATGGGAAGGAAATCCCTTCCTGCCCCAGTGCAGAGTCAGGCTGAGCCTGAGTGCAGGGGCAAGACCCTCCAGCCAGGGGTTGGTGCCAGCAGGAGCATTGGCACAGCCCAGCCCCATCCCCAGCCTGGGCTGCAGCAGCACTTAGCACCTCTGACACATGGAGCAGAACTGGGGGAGGGGGAGACAACCAGTGCAGCCCAGAAGCCTGGGACCCCCCCACAGCAGAGCACAGGCATTGCTGTGCCTAGATCATTCCCCACAAGTGGCTGCCCAGCCTCTCCTTGAACACCTCCAGTGATGGAGTGTCCCCACCTTCCCTGGACATCTGTTCCACTGCCTCACTATTACAGTGGAGCAGAGGTGGGGGAGAACCCAGGAGGGAGGTGTGTCCGTACAGCAGGGCAGGAAGATCCAGGGTGGGGTGGGGTGGGGTGGGGGGTCGGGGACAGGGCAGCCAGTGGTCAAGCTTTGGGTCTCCTCTTGCCCAGTCCTCACATGCCCAGCTCTGCTCAGCTCCATGTGGTTGGTGGCAGGTCCCTGGATGCACCGGAGAGGCAGACCTGCCAGAAGTCTCCCCTGGGCAATGGGGATGTCCAGCCCCAGGCACCAAATGAGGCCCTGGGGCCAGAGGCTGAAGCACAGGTGGACGCCTCAGGGCAGCTGCTAGCAGAGGAGACAGGACCTCCAGCACAGGTCAGTGTTCACCCACGGGACCTGTGGGGTGGGCTGTGCAGCCAGCAATGTACCACGGGCCTGAGGGCACAGCTTCCAATGCAGCCCTGGGCCGGGGGGAGACTAGGGTTTCCCTGATGTCAGCAGGTCTAGCCCATGGATGTCCTACCTGTCCACCCAGTGGAGAAACCCCCTGACATCCCCGCCCATGTGCGGAGAAGTCCTGCCCTTTGGCCCGGCCAAGACTAATCTGCTTCAGTGCTGGGGTTTCCCTGCATGCCAGAGGAGGCTCCTTTCCATATCCCAGGCCCCTCCCTGAGACGAGCTCCATGCTTGTGCAGCTCCAGGGCACCTGCTTAGAGCAGCTTCATGGCAGGGCGATATTTACTGGCCGTTCCCTTCTCTGAATCTGCTCTGGGGGTTGGCGGCTTAGGCTTGAGGCATCACCCCAGACCCTCAGAAAGAGCGAGAGCTGCTTCTCAGCGTTGTCTGCCCTCGTTGGCCCCCATCACAGGGGCCATTTTTGCTGCCACAAAATACCTCAGCCTGACCCTAGGTGTTGCTTGCTAGTCCCTGCTTTTCTTCCCAGGGTTTTCCCTGTCATTGAACATCTCTGAGTATGTGTGTGTGTTGGATACCTCCCTCCAGCTGTGTTATCTTGCTTCATTACAGGCAGAACCTGCTGTTATTTTGCCTCTCTTAGATTGCAAACAGACACCACATTTATCCCAGGATAAACTTTTATCTCAGGACAAAATCCAGTCATGCAGCTGCCTATGTCCATTGTCTCAGGATAAATCCTAAAATAGTTTCCTGGGTAAGAGATAAGTTTCCCAGTGACAGGTGAACTGTTCAGAAAGCTGCAGGCCTCTGATGACAGACACACCTTTATCCCTGGATAAGGTGTGTCTGTGTTTGTCCTGGAAGAAAGATATCCTGGGATTGGTGTGTGCACAATCAGGGTTCAGCGAGCAGCTTAATACATTGACTCAATAGCCGAAAAGCAGCAATGATACAATCCTGGGATAACTGTACAGATGCACTTTACAATATCCCAGGATAAAGTTTTAGCATTTCTGACCCCATGAACCTTTTTTACACTATATCCCAGGACAATAGATGTGGACATCTGAATCTTTGCACTTTGCCCTGGGATAAAATGGTTTATCCCGGAATAACTGTGACATCTCTCTGTAGCCCATCAGTTAGAGCTTTATTGCACACAGTGGAGTCCAGCAATGCCCTCATGCTCCAAGGAGATGCCATGAGGGAGGGCGTTGCTGTTTCACTGCTGCTTTTTCTGTCCATGCCCCCCCAGAGAGTCTCTGAGGATGAGGGAAGCGACATGGAGGAGCCCAGTGTCACCCCAGCTGACCTGGAGGCACTGATTTTGGGGCATTGCCCCCCAACTCCATCTGAAGGCTCTGCAGCAACCTCCCCACCTGTCGGCAGGTGGGTCTGTGCTCAGTCCTCCCACACCAGGAAGGAGAATCACAACCAGTGCATCACAGAGAAGCTGGAGGTGCTGGCGAAAGCCTACAGCATCCAGGGAGATAAGTGGAGGGCCCTGGGCTATGCCAAAGCCATCAATGCCCTCAAGAGCTACCACAAGCCGATCACGTCCTACGAGGTAACCCGCAGTTCCAGCCTCTGCGAGCAGGCTGGGCTGGGACAGGGCCCTGCTGGGAGAGCTGGGATCAGGCCCCCGCAGGCAGCAGCTCCTACTGTGGGAGTGGGTTACAGGCTTGGACCCTTGGCCATCCTCCAAGACAAGAAGCAACAGCCCAGTTTGCTGGGGCAACTGCTAAGTTCCCAGCTGTCGGTGGTTTCAGACTGGTGTCATAGGGCTGTGCCGTTAGTTGCTCCTCGTTCACCTGGCCCACTGTGACCAGACCTCTGGGCTTTCCTGTCCCAGAGCCCCTGCAGCCAGCTGATCCCTCTGTACTCTGGCCCAGGAAGCCTGCAAGATCCCTGGCATCGGGAAGCGGATGGCAGAGAAGATCCAGGAGATCCTGGCCAGCGGGCACCTGCGGAAGCTGGACCACATCAGCGAGAGCGTGCCTGTGCTGGAGGTCTTCTCCAACATCTGGGGCGCAGGTATCAAGACTGCCCAGATGTGGTACCAGCAGGTAATCAACCCCTCCCTGCTGAGGATCTCTCAGCCCTGTCCGGGCTATTGAATCCTGGCTTTTTCTTGGAAACATCTTACCGGCCTGTGTTCCTCCACTGCTGCCAGTCACCTCTCCTGGGTGGCTGTGTCCCTGGGCAGCTTTGGAGCTGCAGGGAGTCAGAGTGCAGCCAGATCCTGGGGGGGCAGGAGGGGGAAGGTTTGGCTCTGACCTTTGAAGCCTGCATGGCTTGAAGCCTGGATGTGAGTTGCCTCTGTTCCCTGGGATGCCCTGCTCTGGCAGAGATGAGCCAGTCCCCAAGCAGTTCCCTGCAGTTGTGTAAGCAGGAACCAGGTCTCAGGAAGGGGCCTGGGATATGGAAAGTCCCCTCCTGCCCTGCCGGAGACCACAACGGTCACCCTTTTGGGGCATGCTGCGAACTAGGAGACCATAAGAGCTGCTGCGCTGGGTCAGACCAGCCCTGGGGCCTGGCTTTAGCAGGGGAGCTTGTGGGGTGAGCGTTTGAAACAGGCCGTGTCTGGCGTGACCCAGATCCTCTGGTGCCCAACGAAGAATGTGTGTCTGCTGGCTGTGGTGTGGAGCAGCCCCTGGGGGGGGTTGTATTGGAGAGGCTGGGGATTGCAGGTTCCCTGGGGCAGCCATGGGAAACCCCTGCCCTTGGTATCATCTGTGTGTGCAGGACAGGGCTGCTGGGATCTCATGTACTGCCTTCAAAGTCCCAGTCAGTAATGCCCAGAGCCAGGCTGCGGCCTGGGGGAGCCTCTCGGCTGCCCAGGAGACCCTGGAGTTAGAGGGGTCCATCTGCTCAGGCATCGATGTGCTGTGAGCTGAGCGGAGATGGTGCCTGGGCTGTGTGGGGATGGAGCTTCCGTCTGTGAGTTGCCCAGCCCCTGCCTGGATGGGGACATTGCCCATTGGGTTCATTACCATCCCCGTCTTGGGGCATCCAGGAGTGAGGCCTCTCAGTGCCGCCCCATGCTCTCCGCCAGGGCTTCCGCACGCTGGATGAGATCCGCACCAAGGCCTCCCTCACCAGTCAGCAGGCCATCGGCTTGAAGCACTACGAGGACTTCCTGGAGCGCATGCCTCGTGCAGAGGCAGCTGAGATAGAGCAGACGGTAAGGCCCCCTGGAGGGTCTCATTGCTGTCCCCCCACTCTCCTGTCACTGTGGATGCAGTGGCCAGCATTACGCAGTCCCTCAGCCACAGGGAATGTGGGTTTATCCCTGTCTCATGAAGGGTGATCCCAAAGACTGAAAGGGAACTGCTGAGATTGACGCACACATGCCCCTGAGCTGTGGGCTCGGAACGGGTGCCCCCAGCCCCTGAGCCTGGGCTTGCCTTGATCAGAAGAGCTGGCACGTGACTTTGGCATGGCTGACATGGTACCGCCAGGCACCCACGCCAGTTTCTGTACTGGCCTCCCTCAGCTGGGTGTTTGAGTTGTCAGGCAGCGTGGGCTTCACCTCAGAGGCAGCTGGGTTGTGGGACATGGTTCACCTTCCCTGCCTCTGTGCTCGGTGATGCCCCCGGTGCCTGGTCCTGCCAGCCCAGGGAGAGCTGTTCTGCTGGGTGCTGCTCTGGCCTAGTGCCTGCTCAGGGTGCTGACCACATGCTTGGAGCCTGGGCTCTGGTGCCCCACCACAGATCCCAGCTCCTTACTCTTCTTGTGTGTGTCTCTCTCTCACTGCAGGTGCGGGAGGTGGCCCAGGCCCTGGATCCTGGACTGGTGTGCGTGGCCTGTGGCTCCTATCGCCGCGGCAAGCCCAGCTGTGGGGACGTGGATGTTCTGGTGACCCACCCCGATGGGCGCTCTCATCGTGGCATCTTCGCCAAGCTGCTCAACAGCCTCTGGCGCAGTGGTATGTGAGCACCCACGCTGGGAGGGCACTTGGCTCCTGGCTGTGGCCAGAGATAAACCCGCCCCCTGCCTTGAGGAAAGAGAGCAGGAGCCACCCCCCTAGGGTTGGTGGGTGCCGTGTGTCCTGTGGTTTGGCTTAAGGATACAGCTGGGAGCTTTTCCCTGTTGGCAGGGGATTCTGGGGGTGGTATTGTCAGACCCTGTGGTTGCTGCTGTCATGTCTGTGACGTGTATGTGACTGTTGGTGCCTCTGGTCATGGCCTGGTGCATTGGGATGCTCCGGGCACCTGCCAGGGGCTTTTAAGCCTCCCCCAGAGGCAATGGGTGCTGGGGGTGGGGCTGGGCTGTACCCTCCTGGCTGGAGGGTCTTGTCCTCAGGCTCAGCCCCACGCTGCCCTGGGGCAGGAAGGGATTTCCCCCCTGCTCAGACTGGTTTGAATTGGGGAGTTTTGCCTTCCTCTGCAGTGGGGGCATGGCCTGGGCCTGGGCCCTCTGCAGTGCCCATGATATATATCCCCCCCACCCCGCAGCAGCAGGACGTTGGTGGCTGTGGCCCCCCTGATTTCATGTGGGTGATGCCTGGGGCTGTTGTGTGGCTCCAAGGTTGCACACAGTGTTTATCTGGGCTGGTTTGGACGGGGCAGATTCTGCCTCAGTGGTGGATGTGACCCCGCAGCTCATGGTGCCAGGGCAGCTGGCAGCTCTGTGGAGGCTGCTGAAGCCCTTTGCTAACCCCACTCCCCCCACAGGCTTCCTCACTGACGACCTGGTGAGGCAGGAGGACAGCGGTGGTCAGAAGAAATACCTGGGCGTGTGTCGGCTGCCCGGGCCAGGTCGGCACTACCGGCGCCTGGACATCATCGTGGTGCCCTATGCCGAGTTTGGCTGTGCCCTTCTCTACTTCACCGGCTCGGCCCACTTTAACCGCTCCATGCGTGCACTGGCCAAGACCAAGGGCATGAGCCTGTCAGAGCACGCGCTCAGCACGGCTGTGGTCCGCGGCCCCAGGGGTGCCAAGGTGGCACCTGGCTTCGCCCTGCCTACCCCCACTGAAAGGGATGTCTTTGCCGTGCTGGGGCTGCCCTACCGTGAGCCGTCTGAGCGAGACTGGTGACAGCTGTGAATTCGGTGTCCCCCACTGCTGCTCCGTGGGGTGCAGGGTCAATCCCCCATGTGCACGGGGCAGGGAGTGGGGTCCCCATCCTGGCCTTGCCCCCAGCGGTGTTGGGGGTGGAGCCCTGCCCACACCTGGCAGTGGAACAGGGTGGGCTCACAGCTCGGGGAGTCCTCCTTGCTGCTGGAGCCATGAGCGAGGCAGGGATGGGACTGCCCTAGTGCTGAGAGAGGCTTTCCAGGAAGCTGCATCCACCTTGGGCTGGTGGAAAGAGTGTCTGGCCTCTCTTCAGGGCTTGGGCCAGGCCTGCTGGGGAGTCCCTGCTGGCACCGGTGCTGGGAGAGGAATGTCTCTCCCCATGGGGTTTGAATGTAGCTTGGTGCATTGGGGATGTGTGTCTGTGGGCTCCACTGGTGGCTGTGCCCATTGTCCCTTGCAGTGGCCAGAGGGTACCTCTGGTACCTCTGCCAGGGCAGCACTGCTGTGTAAGCCCAACCCCACGTCAGCTGGGGAGGGGGCATGTACTTCTTGTAGCTGAATAGCCCAACCCCCTGGGCGAGGGTTATATCCCCTTCCTCCCCCAGGCCCTGGGGACTCCCTGTCTTCTCTCAGGAGGGGATCGGATATGCCTGGGGACTTTCAAGAGCCCTCCCTGGGTGCTGGAGCCCTCACCCTGTTGTGCTGCCTCAGGCCCCCGGCACTGCTGCTGTCTCTGAGCTGGGGCCCAGCACCTGCTGCTCATGGATGGTCCCCAATGGGCCCTTCTCTGCCCCAGTGCCCCTGGGAGTGCAATAAACCCACCCCCGTTGGACCCTCCCCAGCGTCCGTGAATCCTGCCTGGTGACACCCCCGTGGGCTTGGCCTGCCCTTGCGTGGGTCCCCTGGGCTGTAGCCATCCAGCACCTTGGTCCCTCCCCTGCCTGGTCATCTTGTTCATCAACTCTTTTCTCCCCCACCGCCTCCTCCCGGCAGTGCTGGAGATGGTGGTGACTGGAGACCAGACCCGTTCCTCCACCCGCAGCCACCAGTGACTTGTGGCTGTTCCTATCCACTGGGAGATCCTCAGCCCACTGGCCCCGTGGTGAGAGCTTGGGGCTGTGGGTGGAGCGGGGCAGGGGTGTCCGTAGCTGACGCCTCAGTTTGACCACAGGCCTGCCCTGCCAGGCCTCTGGCTTGGAGTTACCCTGTGCCTGGCTGGGGGAGGGGGTTGCCCATCGCCAATCCAGCAGCCCCAGGCAAGGGGTGGGGGCCAGACACTCTCCAGGCTGGGCTGGGCTGGTGCTCAGTCCTCAGTGGAGTGGGGCTGTGGGCTGGGAGTGAGGGGCACCAGGGAGCCCATGAGCTGCACTGGGGGTGGCGCGTGGCGCAGGGTGAGCAATGGGGGCATCACAGCTAATGCGGCAGCTCTGGGCTCCTGGGGAGGGTTGGGCGGGGTGGAAGCGCCCCCGGCTGGGAGCCTGATGGGCCTGAAAATTAAAAGCAAAGCAAATGTCAGCGCAGCCCAGGATGGATCTGAGGGGGGTGCAGGGGGGCTCTGCTGGGGCAGTCCCTCAGCCCTGCCGGTACCCCTCACTTCTGACCCACAGCCCTACCTGGCCTGCCCCAGGGGAGGGGGTGCCCCCAGCTGTGCCCCAGTCTTGGCCTCCCTCATCAGGAGAAGTATTTGCTGGCAGGGCTGGGGTCTGTGAGAGCGGCTCTGCCCACCCCAAACTCTCCCCCCGCTGAGCAGGCAGGGAAATGAATATGAATTTATCATGATTAGGAGAAGCTGGGGGGGGAAGATGGATCTGTGCAATAACATTAAATAAGGCCACCCCCCTACCCCCCACGGCTTTGCTGATTTCTCTCTTTCCTCGAATTTATGAGGCCAATTAGGGCGACGAGGGTGGAAGTCCTTGGAACTTTGCCGGGTGCAAAACACGGCCCCGTGGCTCCCGTCCAATTCATTAGCCTCTCGCTATTGATGGTGCCAGCGCCGGTCCGTCTCCAGCTGCCCCTGTCCAGGGCCCAGGAGTGGGCAACAGCCCTGTCCTTCTTGCCGCCAGCCCCACGTGAGCCAGGGGCAGCCGTGGGTATGTGGGAGAGAGCAGGGCGGTCACTGTGGCATCCCCAGGCCTGCACCTAGGGGATGGGACTCAGCCCCACGGAGCCTGCAGATGAGCTTGGGGCACCCACAGGGCCCAACCCCGCCACCTCCCAGCCCATGGCAGGGCCCAGCATGGGGATCTCAAGCTGGGCAGGTCCTGGGGGCTCACCTGGGGGACTGTCTCCCCTGGGTCGCTGCCTCCCCCAGGCATTAGGGACACAATGAGCTCCTGGGGGCAGGGCTGTCGCACTTGGTGTATGTCCAGCCTCGGGCCACTGAATGCAACCCGGGTTCAATAGGTTGTGCTAAGAGCTGCTGGCTGCGAGTATCTGTGCCACGGGTTGGATGAGGAGCAGAGCCTCTGAAACGACGGGGAAGCAAAGGAGTTTAAATACCACCATGCACGTGAGTGTTTGCAGCTGCTTTAGAGACTTGGTGTAAGAACATCAGAGCTGCCCTGTGCGGGGTCAGACCCAGCTCTGCCTGCCCGGGCGCCAGTGTTGCATGGGGCAGAGCGGAGCTGAAGGGAGTGACCTGGGTCCGAGCTGGGTTTTTCCCCCTGCTCCTCTCGGCCTTGCAGCCTTTAAGGTCCAAACAGGTCTGATGCCAAGGCCGTGCCCCGCACTCCCGCGGGGGCTCAATAACAACCCATGCCCCTTTCCTTGAAGCACGTGTCTGACCCCGTATGAATCTGGCTGAGCTCTCGGCTCCTATCGCGTCTGGGGCCACGAGCTCCCCCTCTGATCCCAAACTGGGGGGAACAACATCCTGGTGTTTGTTTTGAACTGCCGGCCCACTCGTGTCATGCGGTGACCCCAGTTCTGGTCTGGTGAGAGACAATAATCCTGGGGGACTTTCTCTTCTCCATTGGGCATTTTGTAAACCCTGCTTGTCCCCCCTCCAGTGTCTCGTTTAAGCGGACCAGGCCAGGCCCCGTGAGTCTCTCCTCACCCCTCCATAGCACCCATCGCCCTTCTCTGCACCTTCTCCAGCTCTCCTAGATCCTCTTGGAGAAGCAGGGACCAGAACGGGGCACCGGGTTCAAGGTGCGGATCCCCCACTGCTGTATGAAGGGGCATTATGATATGTCCCGTTGGGTTCACAGTTCCCTTAACCCTTCCTAACTGAGACAAAAGTTTGCACAGGTCCAAAACCCAGCCTGGTTGAGGGGAAATGGCAAGAGGTGAGATTTTGGAGATATCTTTTACAGGCCTGGCTGTGTGGTTGGGAGCACTGCTGGTATCCGGTGCCCTTCCTCGAGGGGATAAAAGCAGCTATAAAAATCCTAGATGCATGGAGGGAAGCAAAGGGAGGTTGATGGTACGGAGCAGAATGTGAATGCTAGGGACTGGTGGCTGCAAAGAGGATGGAGCTGGGCTGGTCTCAGTGGGGGCAGATGCAGGGCAAGGAGCAATGGGCTCAGGCTGCAGGAAGGGAAGTTGAGGTTGGATATGAGGAAGAACTTTCTGACGAGGAGGGTAGTGAAGCAACTGGAACAGGTCACCCAGAGAGGTGGTGCAGTCTCCATCCTTGGAGGTTTAGCAGACCCGGGTAGACCAAGCCCTGGCTGGGATGATGTAGTTGGGGCTGGTCCTGCTTGGAGCTAGATGTGACCTCCTCTGAGGTCCTCTCCACCCTGCATTTTCTATGACTGTAATTATAGAGAACGGATTAAGGGAGCAAAAGGCTGCCAGGAGAAATATGTGAAGGCCATATCAGAGAGCTGCTATATCAGGTGTATCAGCTATTCATAGATTTTATAGATTCGTAGACATTAGGGCTGGAAAGGACCCTGAAGGATCATCGAGTCCAGCCCCCCGCCCCAAGGGCAGTCAGTCATCAGGGGTCATAGGATCCAATTAAGATAAGCATCCAAATTGTCTTGAAGGCGTTCAGAGTAGGTGCTTGAACCACCTCCGGCGGCAGGCTACTCCAAACCTTGGGGGCTCGGACAGTGAAGGAGTTCTTCCTTATGTCCAGCCTGAATCAGTCGTGCGGAGTTTGTGACCGTTCGATCTCATCTTCCCTTGGCATCTATAGGATGTAATATCAAAACAAGATCCTGCATTGGAGAGATGCTGTCTCGAGTGCATCAGAGGGAAGGAAGTTGAGCAATGACGTGGGAATGGACCCAGGTGCACATGGGAAACTGGTCCATAACGACGTGGAAAAGGCAGAGCGGATATGACCTGGCCTCCCCCCACCCAGGAAAGTTCTGTGTTTGGGAGAGGCTGGGTTGTGGCTCCGTGTTGTGAGATGATGTGTTTTCCACTCCATCCATCCCCACTGCAGTAGCCAAGTGTTTGTACAGCTGCGGGTCTAGACACGATGCATCCTGTGGTTTCCAAAGCCCAGGGCGAGCTGTTCCCTTCACCCTGGGTGGTGATTTCGAGGAAGTTGAGCACTGGAAGACAGTGAAGGACACACCAACGCTCGCCAAGGCGGGCTCAGGGCCTTGTAGACCTATCAGCCCAGCATCACTTCTGAGTCAGGCCTCCATCAATAAAGCCTTGGAGGAGGGTCAGCACATGGCTGACCTGGGAGCAGGTTGTGTCCCAGTACCCGGTGCCTCCTTTGGGATGAGATTCACCGAGGGGTCAGTGCGGGCAACAGGGCCATGGCCGGGAGCTCAGGCTGGTGGGAGGCAGGTGTGTCCACACCACGCGACACTGATGAGCCTGGGCCTGATACCAGCTGGGTGCGGCCATGTGTCCAGCGAGAGGCCTGCATGGCACCATGAGGCTTGGGCACTCCTGGGCGCTGGGGTGCTTCTAGCGTGGCCCCGAAGAGATGTGTTCTTAGTCCTGGTGGATTTGGTGTTTGCACCCACGGGCTGCAAGGAAATGCCATAAATGGGAATCAGGAATACAGGGAGAGACGTCAGGGCAGTGGGGGGACTCCCAACTCTGGAGGGTTCAAGGAGACGGTGGACGGGCACTGGTGGGGGATGCTCCAGGCGCATCAATGTCCGTGCTGTGTCCCAGGACCCTGGGCTGTGCTGGTTGCCCCCTTCTCATAGTTTCATAGTTTCATAGATTTAGGGTCGGAAGGGACCTAGTAGATCTTCTAGCCCGACCCCCCGCCAGGGCGGGAGAACAAAAAAAAACTCCCAAAACAAAAATGGGACTCAAATGAGTCCAGCCAGGTAGGCATCCAGCCTCTTCTTAAAGACCCCCAGGGTAGGGGCCAGCACCACTTCCCTTGGAAGTTGGTTCCAGCTCCTAGCCGCCCTAACTGT